GGATAGGCATCCACCTTTGGCTCAGGTCATGATATCATGGTTCATGGGTTTGAGCCCCACGTGGGCTTAGAGATACCAGTTTAGAGCCTGGAACCTGCTTCGGATTCTGTGTTTCTGTCTCTCTCTGCCCCTCCCCCACTTGAGTGCTCTCAGTCTCTCTCTCTCTCTCTCTCTCAAAAATAAATAAACATTAAAAAAAAAAAAGACTGTAAGTGCTCTTCAACAACAACTAGAGGAAACTTTGAAAAAATAAGATTTATTACTTACAAGACCTGGAAAATTACACAGCACACCTGGGGCCACACAGTGAGGTTACAGATAGAGAGAGGGAGAGTGTATGGGCCTGAGGTTCTACTTTTATTGGGGTTGAGAATGGAGGCCTAGGATTTTGTGAGCTCACTAATGGTGAATTTAAGACATAAGAGCAGGAAAATAAACTCAAAATGGATGAAAGACGTAAATATAAAACAGGAAGCCATGAAAATCCTCGTGGAGCAAGCAGGCAAAAGCCTTTTTGACCTGTGCTGCAGGAACTTCTTACTCAACACGTCTCCAGAGGCAAGGGAAACAAAAGCAAAGATGAACTACTGGGACCTCATCAAAATAAAAAGCTTCTGCACAGCGAAGGACACAATCAGCAAAACTAAAACGTGACCAACAGAATAGGAGAAGATATTTGCAATGACATATCACATAAAGGGTTAGTATCCAAAATCTATAAAGAACTTACCAAACTCAACACCCAAAAAACAAATAATCCAGTGAAGAAATGGGCAAAAGACATGATTAGACACTTCTCCAAAGAAGACATCCGATGGCCAACCGACACATGAAAAAATGCTCAGCATCACTCATCATCAGGGAAATACATATCAAAACCACAATGAGATACCACCTCACACCTGTCACAATGGCTAACATTAACAACTCAGGCAACAACAGGTGTTGGCGAGGATGCAGAGGAAGAGGATCTCTTTTGCACTGCTGGTGGGAATGCAAACTGGTACAGCCACTCTGGAAAACGGCATGGAGGTTCCTCAAAAAATTTAAAATAGAACTACCCCACATTGTACTACCTGGTATTTATCCAGGGGATACAGGTATGCTGTTTTGAACAGGCACATGCACCCCAATGTTTATAGCAGCACTATCGACCATAGCCCAAGTAAGGAAAGAGCCCAAATGTCCAACAACGGATGAATGGATAAAAAAGATGTGGTATATATATACAATGGAGTATTACTCAGCAATCAAAAAGAATGAAATCTTGCCATTTGCAACTACGTGGATGGAACTAGAGGGTATTATGCTAAACGAAATTAGTCAGAGAAAGATAAATATCATATGACTTCACTCAAATGAGGACTTTAAGAGACAAAACAGATGAACATAAAGGAAGGGAAGAAAAAATAAATATAAAAACAGGGAGGAGGACAAAACATAAGAGAGTCTTAAATATAAAGAACAAACAGAGGGTTGCTAGAGGGGTGTGGGAGGGGGGATGGGCTCAATGCGTAAGGGACATTAAGGAATCTACTCCTGAAATCATTGTTGCACTATATGATAACTAACTTGGATGTAAATTAAAAAAAAAAAGAAATGAAGTATAAAAAGAAATAATAAATAAATAAATACATACATACATACATACATATATACATACACAAGACCAGGAATTTAAAGTGTGGGAAGAGAAAGAAACAAGTGGCCCAATTGTCAGTTATCAAAATTCACCAAGATCTCTAAAACAAAGGAACCTCAGTGAGGGAAGGCAGTCTGACTCTATATAGTTGGGTGGCTGGCAATGTGTTTGAGATCATCATTGAAATACCAATCAAGCTTAGGTCAAGCACTTGCATTACAAAATAAGGAATAAAACACAACTATCAGGGTTTATACTACAATAGGCAGGATGTTTTCCCCCTCTGTCTCTTTTCAAGATTTTCTCTTTATCTTTGGTTTATCACAATTTGAATTTGATATGTGTAGGATGTAAGGAGGGTGGTATTTATCATGCTTGTTATTCTCTGAGCTTTCTGGATCTGCATTTTGGTGTCTGTACTTAATTTTGGAAACTTCTTGGCCATAATTACTTCAAATATTTTTTCTAATATTAGAGGATGGTGCATGCTTTTGTATATATCTTATGTATATGTATACACAAAAGATACATATATATTTATACTTTTTGAAATTATCCTACAGTTTTTGATGTTCAGGGCGGGGGGGGGGGGGCTTGTTTTTTTTTCTTTTTTTTTTTCTCTTTGCATTTTTGTTTGGGAACTTTCTACTGATCTATCTTCAAACTCATCTGTTCTTTTCTTGGCCCCATGCAGTCCACTAGTGAGCCCATCAAAGTCATTCTTCATTTATGTTACAGTGTTTTTGATTTCTAATATTTCCTTTGAATTTATCTTATAATTTCCATCTCTCTGCTTACATTTCCCATCTATTCTTAAATGATGTCTAATTTTTCCATTAGATCCCTTAACATATTAATCATAGTCATTTTAAATTTTCTGAGAATTCCAGTATCCTTGTCATATCCCACTCTGGTCCTCATGCTTTCTTTGTCTCTTTAGGCTGTGGTTTTCTTGTGTTCTTAGTGTGGTTTATAATTTTTTGTTGGAAGCTGTACATGATGTAATTAGTAATTGGAACTGAAGTAGATATGTCTTTAGCATGATGTTTTATGTTAATCTGACTAGGAGTTGGACTGTATTTAATATTTGCTGTAGCTCTAAGTGCCAGAGCTACCAAATTTTTCTAAAATGCCCTTGTTTCCATCCCCACCTTTTGACTTTGGCCTTCCCTAAGTACACCTCCTCAGAGAAAGTCTGCATCCTGCAGCTATAATCCACTGTTAATATACAAGAGCCCCATTAGTACAATGATAAGATATGGGGGGAATCTATAATCTTATAATTAAATCTCAGTCTTGTAGTGGATCTATGTTCCCGGGATGTGACCTTTACAAGTGTTTCTTAGCTTGCTACCCACCTTAGGTAATAAGACAGGAAGGCTAGAGGGGTCTGGGGTGGGAGAAACACTTTTCCTTTGGGTGGGATAAGGCTCTGGTAGTCTTTTCCCCTAGATAGCAGCCCTTTGTTGTAGAGAACAAATGAGCTCTGGGTATATTTTAAGATGATTAATCATCCTCTTCTACTGCCGGAGCCACAAGCAGATCTTTCTTGGCTCTTAACCATGAGAACATGGTGGGGTTCCTCAAGGATTAAACCCAGGTATTACTCCCCATAATTGTGACCCCCAAGAGTTTCTTGATTATCCACTCTCAACCTAGCAGTTTATAAAAAGTACCATTTAAATTTTTGTAGCAGTTTCAGTTCCAGGACTTCTGTTCCAGGTAAGTAGATCTGGCTGTGGCTGTCTGGATTCACCTATCTCTCCAGATTTGGAGGAGAATTTACCCTGCAACCTCAGTTCTCCGATAGATCCAAGAAATGTTATTGGTTTCCAATTTCTTCAGCTTTTTTTTTTATAGTAAGAATAAAAGTGACAACTTCTGAAACCTATGTTAGTTTTTTATCTTATTAACAGGCAATGGAATGTTCCTTTTTCTGCAATAGTCAGAGAATCACACATTATCTAATACAAATCTTCAGACATAGGACCCATGCAAGTTCTCATGCATTATTGCCCCCAAAGGCAGGGCTGTGAAAATATGAATATTTTTATTGCCACGTTGCTTTCTCTGTCCTTTCTACCCCTAAAGATTGTGTTTTTATTAATGTGAGCCTTCTCTCTCTGTCTCTCTCTCACACACACACACAAATGATAAAACCACAACTATTTTTTCCTAACTGATTGACTCCAAGAGATTAAATCTATTGTGTTATCTTTGCAGTGCAAAGCCTGTAGTGTGTTTAAAGCATTTAAATGTGTTTTTTCTTGTCTTGTTTTAAATACCAACCCTTATTTTCCAGATTATTGGTGAATGATATAATTTTACCCATTTATTTATTCATTCATGTATTCTTTTATTCACCGACTATTTGTTCATCACTTCTCAAATACAAAATGCCCAGCTATGTCTCTGAGAGATATAAAGCCCAGAATTCACTGACACTCCTAATGGGAAGTTATATGTGAAGGACTATACTACAGAGAGGTTACAATACTGAGAACCAAGACAATTAACTAGGAGAAGAGATTGGATTTACCAGATATAACCAGGGCACCATTAAGATTTGATGTCAGATCTATATCAGACAGAACCCAGGCAGAAAACAGAAAGTACACTCAAACAAGGTAATGAAGAAGACTTTAAAAAGGAACTATTGACAAAAGTCAATAGAAGGAAATTGGGAGAAACATCAGTATATCCAACAAGGGATGGTGATGCATCCTGGAGCTAGCAACAGCAAAGAAGTTTTTCTGCAGCTAGGCCTGAAGGGGGCAAGAGGAGGGTACGTTACCAGAACCAAGACAGAGCTATAGAGAATCATACTTCTAGAAGATGGCCACATGTCAGGAGCTGTGGATGTTGGTGGAGAACTATAGTTACTGCTAACCTAAGCTCTGGCAAGGAATGAACAGTGGAATAAATGCTCCAACACCACACTCCTCCTGTTCTCCATCTTCCTACTGCTATTTCCCATTGGCTGAACTCAGATGCAAGTCAGAGGGCAGACCTCCAGAGGTCAGCTTTCTGGCGAGCAGAGAGGATTGGGAAGGATGAAAAGTGAATCTGGAGGAGCAAACAGAAGATACCCAGTTCAACAGGAGTTTGTGCCTCTGGAATCTGGGAGGGAGAATCTCACGGGGCACTGATGGCTACAAATCCTTCATTTGAAGTGGGAGGTATAGACAAAACATGTTGAAAACCGTTGCCACTTCCATCACCACCACATCTTACTTCTTCCACACAAACACCTGAACTCTCACCTTCACCTCTCTGAAGCAGTGTAAATCCATTTTTTAAAAGATCTTGGTGAAAGGAGAGTGAAACTGGTGGCAAACATTCACCTTTCTATCTACAGCCTTCTAGCAGCAAGAGGAGGAAACCGTCGAACTGCCAATGTGATAGCCCATGGGTTTGCCAATCTTTTAACTCTGGACAAAAAGACCCTCCAAGAAATTCTAGTGCATTATCCAGATTCTGAAAAGCTCCTCATGAAGAAAGCCAGGTACAACCTTTAAAACCTCATTAGAAGGGCACCTGGGTGGTTCAGTAGGTCCAGCATCTCTTGATTTCAGCTCAGTTCACAGTCTCACAGGTTCATGGGATTGAGCCTCATGTTGGGCTCTGCACTGACAGCACAGGGCCTGCTTAGGATTCTCTCTCTCTCTCTCTCTCTCTCTCTCTCTCTCTCCCTTGCCCGTCCCCCCCCCCCATTCAAAATAAATAAGCTTAAAAAAAATTAGAGTTGGTTTTACACTGTAATATCTAAGAGGAGAACTATATTATGATGGCAGTGATCAACTTTCTCCATAAGAAACATTCAACAAACAATTGTTATGCAGATATCCATTGAAAACTTCACAGATTAGGAGACAAGACAGTGTCTGGTAGGTTTTTCCAGAACTTTTACGGTACTATCTAAAATAGCCTTTCTCTTCCATCCAAGTGTGCTTCTAAAGAAGAAGGCTCCAGGCACAGAGGAATCCCCTCCAAGAAAAGGACTTGCTTTTCTCTTCCAACCAAAACAAAAGACACCCAAAATGTTTAAAGCTCTCCTGGGAGGCACAGGAAAAGCAGGTCTTACAAGACTACTCAAAATGAAGAGGGAACAAACCATCCAGGTAATGAGGCAGAGTGAATTGAGGGCTGTAACAGATCATTGAACTAAGTATACCCAGACAAGCTCCTACTCTAATTCCATTTCAAATACTGGGACAGTTTGGATGCATCTAATGTGAATAATTACTACTTTATTTATAGCACTTATTATTGTCTAAACTATATCCTCATATTTCATTACATTTAATCCTCACAGTTTATTATAGATGGTTTTAATATATATGTATATACAAACATTCAACTCTCATTATCTATATATTCTATATATTCGCAAATCTGCCTATTTGCTGAAATTTCTTTGTAATCCCAAAATCAATACTCCATGTGGTCATTTGCAAACATACATATGTGCAGAGCAGTGAAAAATTTAAGTTGCCCAATGCACATGTCCCCAGCTGAAGTTGAGCAAGAAGACAACTCTACCTTCTTATTTCAGTTCTCACACTGTAAACAAGTGATTTTCATGATCTATTTAAGTGCTATGTTTTCCTCATTTTTGCGGTGCATAGTGCTGAAGTTCTGTCTAGTGATCCTAAGCACAAAAATTTCTGATATGCCTTACAGACAAAGGACATGTGTTAGATAAGCTTCATTCAAGCATGAGTTATAGTGCTGTTGGGCATGAGTTCAATAAAATGAATCAACAATATATATTAAATAAATGTCCCTAAACAGAAATACTCATAAAACAAGGTTATGTATTGATTTTTTGACAAAAATGTGGCCAGAACCTCATACGAACCAAATCCTGCATTACCCCTAGGAGCAATGGTTCAGTATTTGCTAATTCTGTGTTTGTGGCAGCTGTATAGAACAAAACTACCAGGAATAATGAGAATCAATTGTTTATGTATAAACATACATATACACCTATAAATATATAGCACATTTTACCAATGAGCCACTTTCACAAATATTCAATCACTTATATATCACAAATGTTTAAACCCAGAAATAATTTCACAGATTTGACCCAAACCCTTCATGTTATAGATGAAGAAACAGCTCAATTTATTTGGATAAGTTCACAAAAAGTGACAGAGCGAAAACTATTACTCAGGTATTCACACTTGTAGTCCTATACTGAGCTGCCTCCCAATTCCTAGAAATGTCAAGATACTCAAATGTTACAGTTTTTCTGTCTTTATTTTCATATTTCTTTGATTCTTATAATAAGTCTATGGGGCAGCTATTGAAAAACAGAGCAGGGATGCAGGTTTTCTGAATCTAGTCATGTTATCTCTTAAACTGTAAGAAATGGCTGACTGGATCTTTCAGAAAATTGGTAAAGCAAATATTATAAACCAGTCACACTCAAGAGACTAAAACTTGCCTCTTCCTTTTCACAGAGAAGCACTATGGTGAAAATTAGGGATACAGTGTAAGCCAAATCAGCATAGAAATAATAATCTCTGTAAAGGTTCATGAGTTCCAACCCTGCATCTGGCTCTGCACTGACAGTGCAGAGCCTCTTGGGATTCTCTCTCTCTCCCTCTCTCTCTGTCCCTCTCTTTGCCCTTACCCTGCTCATGTGCTTGTGCTCTCACTCTCTCAAAATAAATAAAACTTTTTTAAAAATTAAAAAACATAATAATCTGGGTAAAAGACTTAAAAGGTAAAGAAATATGTGTCAACATGTTAAGTAAGTTTCTCAACTTTATATGTGCCATTCATACCTAGTAAGAGCCTCTCTTAAACTGACCCCAAATATCATCAGCACAGAGCATAGTATGTTTTTTTACTATGAAACTTCTACAGATGATACTAAGCATAATAGTTTCTAAAACCATATAGCTCAACCACCCGTGGGACAAATAAGACTGTATGGGGAAAGAGATATGAGTTTCTCCCTGAGGTTCTCCCATGAGCTTATGCAACAGGAAAACCATACTTTCTGTAGTATTTTTATGGCATTTGGTTAATACTTTTTTATTAGAAAATAAATATTTAAAATTTCATCTTCATAAAATAAATAAGTACATATTTTTAAAGCAAAGAGTCCTAAGCACTAAGTCTAATAGTTCAGCGAGCATGAGGACCAATAGGAAGAGAATTCCTTTTCAGGGACAAAAATGCAGTCCAGAATTACACTGTCAAATGTGACAGCTCAGCCTCCTTCTTCAGCACATCACAAAGCTGTCAAATGATAGTAGAATGCAAGGCAGACATGATTCCCACATTAACTTAATTCAGACAGTCTTTGTCTTGGTGGTGATCCTTAGCCATTGAATATTAATCATAAGACTCCAATGTCCTTGATTATGATTTCAAAACCAACTTTTTGTAACTACTTCTTCCAGGAAAAAAGTGAAAACTCCAAAGAAGGAGAGGGTAAAGGAAGAGAATATGAAGATAAACGAAGAGAACCAGTAGAGAAAACACAGGACAGCTCCGAATGTAGAGCAAATTCTGTTACAGCAGAGGAAATGCCCCCGTCAATTAGAAGGGCAGCTTTACCCAGAGGAACTACTCGTCAATCACTTATCATCAGTATGGCTCCTTCTACAGAGGCTGGGGAAGAAGTTCTGATGATTGAAGTTAAAGAAAAGGCTAAACAATAAGTGTTTGATTATCTTTAGATGTAATCTAGCTAATTCCCAAAGAGATTGTACCCAGGATTGTAGCTTAAATTAATGAGGGGAAAAGACCTTGCCAGGACCCCTGAGAATCCATAGACAAATCCCTGGCTTAGTTTCTAGAACTTATGTGAGAGTGTGATCTTATGCAGTAGTAATAAGAAGATTATTTCAAAACCATCCCTATTCTCCATTGTCATTAGCTTTGTGCAATTGGTATTTCTCCTAATTTTATGTAGTAAGGTTTTTTTCTCTTCCATTCTTTCTTGATGATGTTTCTTCCTCCATTTTGATTAGCTTGGGATTGGCCCTGAAGTGATTCACTTACCTTTTCTCTTCAGTGTGTGTGTGTGTGTGTGTGTGTGTGTGTGTGTGTGTGTGTGTGTGAAAGTCTTGCATGGTACTGTTATTTCTCACTTGTAGGGGATTATGAGATTTCAATAAAATGTCGAAAATAAAACATCAGGTGATTTCCATTCAAGCAAGGATGATGAGTCATTCAAATATCATATCAATCCAGCAGTTGGAATTGAAGGGAAGCAGAGATAACGGAATCTGTGGATGTGAAATCTGACTTGCAGAAAAGTCCCCTGAGGAGCAATATTGGTCAGTAGTACTAACAAACCCGCAGGGAAATATCATATTGTAGCGACATGTTGGAAAACTCATTCCCTTTGCTAAAGAAACAAACTTGAATGTTTTTCCTCATACCAATTTAAAAGGCAACAGTCTGCCTAACTCATCTGGCTCCACAGACTCAGACTGGAGGAATCCAATCATCCCCATCTTCAGGTAGGCTAAAATGATGTTTCTCAGAATCTTCCTCAAGCGTTTGCTTCTAAAGGTGCCAGATCTCGAGGCGCCTGGGTGGCTCAGTCGGTTGAGCATCTGATTTCGGCTCAGGTCATGATCTCATGGTCCATGAGTGTGAGCCCCGCATCGGGCTCTGTGCTGACAGCTCAGAGCCTGGAGCCTGCTTCAGATTCTGTGTCTCCCTCTCTCTCTGACCCTCCCCCGTTCATGCTTTGTCTCTCTCTGTCTCAAAAATGAACATTAAAAAAATTAAAAAAAAAAATAAAGGTGCCAGATCTCAGCTTCTCATTGTTTTCAGCTTTAGTAAAAAGTGATGAGGTTAGGAAGACAGACTGTACACATGTCAGATTGACATATCCCTACAATTTGCAGAACCTACATGTACAGCTGTTTACAAAATCTCCAAGTTAATTAAGTGCACTTTAGGAAGTTGTCCTCATGAATCAGCTAACATTAGCATAATTACTAAAGTCTCATGCTGTGAGGAGACTAAAAAAGCCAGGCTGATGTCGGAAGTAATAATATATATAGAATTCCATTCTAATAAATGCCATTAGTGTATAACATTAAGTTCTGTATAATAAGGCTATTCCCAAGTCCCAGAGGATGGTCATTGTAACAGCACTTTGCTGAGAGGATTTTAACAAATCATGTTGGCCAAAATGCCTACAACATAGATACATTCAGCAAACCATGTATAAATCGATCACTATAATAAAATGTACCATTTGGTTGAGTCACCATTTTTGAACACAGTGTTTGAGTATCATAAACACATGGCAAGCTTTACAAAAGGTTGGTTGATGTTTTTCAGGAGTTGAGGGAATGGAGAGAAATTGTTAAATAGCACTTGCTTGATTGATGGAAGTTCACGTGTAGAAAGAATGATTAGAAAAGGAAGAAACAAAATGTGGAAATAGAGCTTGAAAAAAGTCTAGTAATAGGGAAAAAATTCTGAATTTGTGAATAATATGTTCTCCCCTTACATCCTATAAATAAATTAAAATATATAACACCTTTTCAATTTATGTTCTTCCCTGCTGCTTATTTTCCCTCACAAACTATCCCATTTAAAATTTTTTATTTATTTATTTTTTAGAGAGACAGAGACAGAGAGTGAGTGGGGGAGAGGCAGAGAGAGAGGGAGACATAGAATCTGCAGGAGGCTCCAGGCTCAGAGCTATCAGCACAGAGCCCAACATGGGGCTCGAACACATGAACCATGAGATCATGACCTGAACCAAAGTCAGACACTTAACCGACTAATCCACCCAGGCACCCCCAAACTATCCTATTTTAGATAATATCATCTTCATTTTTCCTATCCCTCAAACTAAAATATAAGAGTAATCAGTAGCCCTTCCATTGTTTATATAGTATCACCAAATCTTTTTTCTTTCTTAAATATTTCTAATTATCCTCTTTTTAAGTTCCAGTGCTAACATCTCAGTACATATTTTTCTGCTCAATTCAAATAAACATAACACTTTTTACTTACAATCTCTTCTAATCACTGATCTACCTTCTCAGCCCTTTAAAGGGAAAAATCAGATCTTTCTAAAATACTACTGTCAGTCCATTCAGGCTATTATAGCAAAATACCACAGTTTGGGTAGTTTATACACAACAGAAATTTGTGTCTCATAGTTCTGGAGGCTTGGAAGTCCAGGACCATGGCGCAGCATTGTAAAGTGAGGGCCCTCTTACTGGTTCATAGCAGACTCCTTCTCACCGGGTCTTCACAAGGTGGAAGAGGCAAGGGATGCTTCTGGAGCTTCTTTTACAAAGGCACTGATCCTATTCATGAGGAAAAAGCACCTCCCAAAGGCCCAACCTCCTAATATTTTCACCTTTGAGGTTAGAATTTCAACATGTCAGTTTGGCAGGCAGGGGACACCACGTTCAAATCGTAGCAACCCCTTTTGACTATGTTATTTCCCTGCTCAGGAACCTACTAGTCCGTCCTAAATCTTACTTATCCAAATTTAATTACCACTTCCCCAAACATACCCCTCACTGACACTCATCTTCCTGCTTTTTCTGGACTATGACCTAGCTTTCTTCCTCTGGCATTTGTCCATGCTGCCTGCCACAGTACAGGATGTTGTCTCTCCATCGCTTTCCTCTTCCCTATACAGCAAAACCTTGGATTGCGAATAACTTGTTCTGCGAGTGTTCCGCAAGACAAGCAAACATTTCTAATAAATTTTAACTTAAAAAACAAGTGATGTCTTACAATAAAAGTAGTACATGACGCCAAACATCACATGATCACAACTGAACCAATTGTTCTGTCTGGCGTGCATGCACACGCTGCAGGATTGTGGGGTGATAGTCTCCCAAGCTCACTGTTTGCTCTCAGACCATGGCGTTTGGCAGAAAGTGATTTTTGGGATGTTTGAAGGTCCCCACAACTGCCACTAGCATATTTTTTGTCACTTCAAAGCACGTGTGGACAGTACTTTGCTTTTCCATACAGGAGTAAACTTAGGAATGCCTTGCTTCAATCTAGATCATTGCATAGGATCCGTTAAAGTTTCATGGAAAAAAAAAAGATTCCATTAAGCCAATAGATAGCAGTGATTCCATTATGATAGTGGAAGTCATCCTACACAATAATGTTCCTCTCTCTTGTCTCCATCACACCAGCCATGAAGGTTTTCAAAAGAAAGTGCAGGATATTAGTTTAGTTTTTTTTATATTTTGTATTTTCATTACTACTTTGTATTATATTACAGTATTGTAATCATTTTTTTACCATTGTATTTAATTTATTTTTTAAATTTACATCCAAATCAGTTATCATATAGTGCAACAATGATTTCAGGAATAGATTCCTTAACGCCCCTTACCCATTTAGCCCATCCCCCCCCCACAACCCCTCCAGTAACCCTCTATTTGTTCTCCATATTTATGAGTCTCTTATGTTTTGTCCTCCTCCCTGTTTTTATATTATTTTTGCTTCCCTGCCCTTATGTTCATCTGTTTTGTATCTTAAAGTCCTCATATGAGTGAAATCATATGATATTTGTCTTCCTCTGACTAATTTCGCTTAGCATAATATCCTCTAGTTCCATCCATGTAGTTGCAAATGGCCAGATTTCATTCTTTTTGATTGCTGAGTAATACTCCATATATATATATCCCCCAAATACTCCATGTATGTATGTATGTGTGTGTGTGTATATATATATATATATGTGCCCCAAATCTTCTTCATCCATTCATCCATCGATGGACATTTGGGCTCGTTCCATACTTTGGCTATTGTTGATAGTGCTGCTATAAACATTGGGGTTCATGGGCCCATTCAAAACAGCACACCTGTATCCCTTGGATAAATACCTAGTAGTGCAATTGCCTGGTCATAGGGTAGTTCTATTTTTAATTTTTGAGGAACCTCCATGCTGTTTTCCAGAGTGGCTGTACCAGTTTGCATTCCCACCAGCAGTGCAAAAGAGATCCTCTTCCCCTGCATCCTTGCCAACACCTATTGTTGCCTGAGTTGTTAATGTTAGCCATTCTGACAGGTGTGAGGTGGTATCTCATTGTGGTTTTGATTTGTATTTTCCTGATGATGAGTGATATTGAGCATTTTTTCATGTGTAGGTTGGCCATCTGGATGTCTTCTTTGGAGAAGTGTCTATTCATGTCTTTTGCCCATTTCTTCACTGGATTATTTGTTTTTTGGGTGTTGAGTTTGGTAAGTTCTTTATAGATTTTGGATACTAACCCTTTATGTGATATGTCATTGCAAATATCTTCTCCTATTCTGTTGGTCACGTTTTAGTTTTGCTGATTGTGTCCTTCACTGTGCAGAAGCTTTTTATTTTGATGAGGTCCCAGTAGTTCATTTTTGCTTTTGTTTCCCTTGCCTCTGGAGACGTGTTGAGTAAGAAGTTGCTGCAGCACAGGTCAAAAAGGCTTTTGCCTGCTTGCTTCACAAGGATTTTCATGGCTTCCTGTCTTACATTTAGGTCTTTCACCCATGTTGAGTTTATTTTTGTGTATGGTATAACAAAGTGGTTCAGGTTTATTTTTCTGAATGTTGCTGTCCAGTTTTCCCAGTACCACTTGCTGAAGAGACTGTCTTTATTCCATTGGATATTCTTATCTGCTTTGTCAAAGATTAGTTGGCCATATGTTTGTGGGTCCATTTCTGGGTTCTCTAT